CATTTTGTTGGGGACAGGCAGCCTGCATATGTATATGTTAGGCTAATATCACAGCCCACCTAACTACTGCTCCTGATCATAATGCAACGCCATCACAGTTGACTAACCGCCGGGCACCTGTTTACTGCTAGGAACAGCAGCATTAGGTGAATGGATACGTGCCCAACCAGTTCTGTCCTGCCCGGAACACGGACCCGGAATTGTGAGTCGAGAACGAACCCAACTGTACTACCGAGACCCCTAAGAGGAGACCTTGGAGTAGAGAAGGGAGGGAAGATGGGAGTAATAAAAACTAGGAGGTGAGATGGAAGGATAAGAGAGAGAGGATGAGGGAAAGAGAAGCAGGAAGGAGGAGGATGGATATAGAAATTGGGAGAGAGAACACTTAAACAATAAAGGAAATGAAAGGTGGGTTTTGTAGGCCAGAGGTCGTATGGGGAGGGTAGTATCGGGTCTGGAGGGAGCGGGGAGTCTGGTCAACCAACAGCCTGGTTGACCAGACCACCAACCAGGAGACCTGATCAGAGAGAGACCATGAAATACCCGGAACCAACAGCAGGTACGGAGATGGGGAGGGGGTGATGTTGGGAGGGGTGAAGGATGGAGTGGAGGGTAGGATGGGGGGGTGATGTGTTGGGAGGGGTGGGAGAGACGAAAGGAGAAAACACGAACGATCTTGCTATAAAATTTGCTCGGGCACATTAAGAGCGATTTCGATTCTGGTCCATTCTCGCTGACTGGTACTATTGTAGATTGTCTAAAATGTTGGTGCCAGTGTTGGTGTTCGAGGCTGTGCACACCGCTGCAACTGCTAGAGGCTGTCGCCGCTCTAGGAAGGAAAGAGAAGAAATGGGCTAACTGCATCTTCCTGGATTACCAGAAAACCTTCGACGTTGTAAAACGCAGGATTTTATTTTTCTACACCAGCATGTATAGTTGATGTGAATCACATTTTTTCTATTCTATTTTCATGGAAATCTTACGTTTCCGAGTATGAAGCAATAATCACATAGTGGTTGCGATACTTTTTATCTCCACACCCAAGAAATGACTCGAACTCATTCAGAAGTGACTCGAACTGGGGACCATTCAGGCTTGTTCGCATTTGTGTTGCTCACGTGGCCCCATAAAATGAGGTGATTTGATAAAATAACTATGCCCAAGATTACCATCAAAGTGCCGTCGGGATGATGGGCAAATAATCACGGCTAACATCATCTTTTGTACGGTCACTGATGGTCGAGTGGTTAAGGTCTCCTGTACACCAGTTGCATAGTGCTGGCAGTATGGGTTCGAGTCACTTCTGGGGTGTGGAGTTTTCTTCTATATATATATATATATATATATATATATATATATATATATATATATATATATATATATATATATATATATATATATATATATATATATATATATATATATATATATATATATATATATATATATATATATATATATATGTGTTGTGTGTGTGTGTGTGTGTGTGCTGACTCCCAAAATTTAATAATCTTAAAATTTCCCAATGTCTTTTACTAAGTTCATGTAAAACCTTAATCCTATTGGTTCTGACCCTGATAGGCTTACCTACGTTTTCTCTGGGATTAAATTCTAATAAAATCATTCACTTAATTGCAAGTTAAACTAAATTGGCTCTTTGATTTGAGTGAAAACTGCACATTTAGTTAATTAATTTTGCAGCAGAACTACCGAGTATTTCATTGATGGAGAAATGCTCATTTTATGAAAGGTAAGCTAGTTTATAAGCTTAATTGGATGGTTGGTGGTTGTGTCTGTGGGTATTGGTAGTGGTTGTGTCTGTGGGTTGTGTGTACGTTCGTAGTTGTGTGTATGACCACACACACACACACACACACACACACACACACACACACACACACACACACACACACACACACACACACACACACACGCCTGAGAATTTTACCAATAATGACGTGACATAAACAATTCCTACTCTAAGAAGCACTGCTCTATCACAACTCTAATGAGCTCAAAGAGAAATACTTAAATAATGACTCTTATCTGTTCGATACCTCTGACGACACAGACAAGATTTCTGCCAATTTGGCAGTAAATTGGATTAGGAATCTCGAGGTTCCCCTATTAACATACCTTCCTCCTCCGAAAGCAAAATTGAATGAAATTGGTCATAAATATCAAGGGAAATATAATATATCGAAAGTTGAGAATTAAATTTGTTTGTCGGTGTTTTGAAGTGAATAAAGAGAAGCCCGGAACGTTCTGCCTATTAACCAATTTACTAGCACCAATTTCACTATTTTATTCGATGCTTGAAGCCTTCAGAGGAAGGGATTGGGTAAAGAGACTAGTGAAAGTTAGTCTTTTTATCGATAACTTCGAGACGAGAAAGTCTAAAGTGTATGCAGAAGCAGCCCCCCCTTAAGCTTTTAGTAAGACACACTTCTCAGACTTAAGTGTGTGTGTGTGTGTGTGTGCTATACTGATGGGCGTTAAGTCTTGGCCAGCCAGGAGAGGAGTTTCTTGATCATCCACTTTATATTCAGACTTTTAGAAATTAGTCTTGGCGTTTTATATAAATGAAATATTAGTAAAGTTAGCCTCAATTAAAATTTAAAGTTAATAGGTAAAATTATGCATAAATTATATACTAAAGGATTAAACAGTTCTCTAATATTTGTAATATAAAAATCGCATATAATAAAAAATGGTAAAGAATTTACTATGTATAAAATAATAAACATTTACTATATTAAAAAATACAACCTAAATACAATTGTCCACTCAAATACAGCACCAAATATTCTGTAATAGAAAATTATTATAAGTGTATCATATTTCTTTAGCCCTATGTCCCCTTGTTCGAGTACCCCCCCCCTGTGTTAAACAATTTATCTGTATCTACCCTGTCGATCCCTCTTAGAATTTTGTAGGTAGTGATCATGTCTTCCCTTCCTGCTATTATATTTCTTTATTACTACTAAAATAATTTGGCAAAGGGATAAAATAATTGCCAGACCAATATCTACATTTGTGTACACACATACACACATATATATAATGTGTGGGCCTGTGACGTCATTATGACGTCATAACGTTTATTCCGATACAGGTTTTAGACCCTAGTTTCTGGCCCTGTGCCGTAGATCAGGCGCCGGGCCAGGCAGAGGCAGTGTAAGCATTCAGGCCCACGGTGACGTAGGAGCGGTCGGAGGCTCGTAATTATTGCTGGTTGTGCACAATGGCTGGGAGATGTATGAAAGGGGGGAGGGGGTGCTGGGGGGGGGGGGTGCCAGACTGGCATCAGTAATCTACGACGAGCACTGATACAGGTCTACGTTCGTAGCTACGATCTTGGTTTGCGTTTGCCTTAAACTAGGGGCTCTTGTATCCCTCCCATGCTTGCTTAAACTAGCGGCTCTTGTACCCCCTCCCATGCTTGCTTAAACTAGCGGCTCTTGTACCCCTCCCGTGCTTGCTTAAACTAGCGGCTCTTGTACCCCTCCCATGCTTGCTTAAACTAGCGGCTCTTGTACCCCTCCCATGCTTGCTTAAACTAGCGGCTCTTGTACCCCTCCCATGCTTGCTTAAACTAGCGGCTCTTGTACCCCTCCCGTGCTTGCTTAAACTAGCGGCTCTTGTACCCCTCCCATGCTTGCTTAAACTAGCGGCTCTTGTACACCTCCCATGCTTGCTTAAACTAGCGGCTCTTGTACCCCTCCCATGCTTGCTTAAACTAGCGGCTCTTGTACACCTCCCATGCTTGCTTAAACTAGCGGCTCTTGTACCCCTCCCATGCTTGCTTAAACTAGCGGCTCTTGTACCCCTCCCATGCTTGCTTAAACTAGCGGCTCTTGTACAAACAACGACCAAAAAAAAAGAGGACACGAATGTTAAAAACCTATTTGTTTACATTTCGTCTCGTCAGGTGGTGTTGGTAATTGATAGCGTGTGTGGCTTTGATGCAGAGTAACCCTGTTTGTTAAGCGTATTTGCATATGTTTTTGTTCCATGTAATTTTTTTTTTTAACTGGGGAATCACCAGGGCCTGTTTATTTGCTGTATTTTGTGTTTGTTGATGTGTTTTAGTGAGGCAATGGAAAGGACATCACTTATTTTGTATCCTTTATTGTTGTGTTAATTTGTAATGTATTTTGGAATTTTAATATTGGATTTGTTTTTTCATCCTTTTTTATTTCATGTTTTATTCATTGTGTTTTGGTTTTGTTGTAGAATATTTCTTATGTTTCGTGTCGCTTTGTTTAGGTTAATTATTGGGTAGTAGTCGGTGTTGAGATTGTCAATGTGCGTAAATCGTGATTTAGGTAAGTCTCAGCTGTTCTTTTCCCGCGTACCATGGTGTAGTTGGCAGTGTATATATTTTTTTCTGTTTATTGCTGCGCTCAATTCTATATTATGCGTCGTCGTCGTCGTTCGCATGTCGAATGTCGAATATGGCGACGTATGCGTGTTCTGCTTGTCCAATAAAGCAACGCAATCTGTTCGTGTATACCACGCAAGATTCGTGTGGCGTTCGCGAGTGGTGTGTGGGTTGTTATACGCCGTTCGTGTTTCGTATAATGTGGCGCCTTGTTTTGCTGTTGCTTAACACTATTTATTCCCTCTACAGGGCACAAGAACGGTACTTTAGCATTCGTGATTAGACATAAAGTGCTGTACCAGCCCGTAGCTCGCTTTGAAAAACATTCCCTTCCCCCATCTCCCTACTTCTTTTGTCCAAAAATTACGCCCCGTCAATCGTCTTAATTCCAGGTCCCTCGTTAACGCTAGGTGAACGAGAATGATCCATCCAGTGTCTTCTTAATTTTGCCGGGATTCGAACCCGGGTCTTGTCCATGCAAGGCGACCTATAGGGAAGATGCTGTTGGATATAAGTCATACACAAGATGGTTTGCCAATGGAGTTTAAAATCTACCCAATCCATCCCAACCGAGCCTAACATAGCTTTAACCTAAGCTAATACATCATTATCTAAC